CCTGAACCGGTGAGATTTGAACAGCCGAACTGCAGAACTGCAGTCAGCTGAAGTAGCCTGCAGTGCTGCATTTAACCACTGCGCCACCTCGGCTCACAACCTGCATCATGATGTCAGGGGAAAAAATTATATATACATTAGTATGATATGAGAGGTGATACCCTATGTGGCTTCCATTTTCAGAAGTAGCATCACTGTTCTCATGAAGTTTAATTCCACCCTTCAACTTCATTTTGGCAATATGCTATGCAACTATAATACAGGGAAATAATATCCGTTTGTAGGCAAAATTCATTTCTATCTTCCTGCTGTCCTGCCATAGAGTATACTATAAATCATCTTTGGACTATACACAATTAATTTTCTCTTCCTTACCCATCTGCTTCTTCTTTTTTTAACCATGTTTTTGTTACATTTGATTTTAAGGTCACTCTCACATTTCACTTGAACAGCTGGTGCTTAATATTGAAAGATCGTTGGATGATAAAGTTACAGAGTCAGTGAAAGAGGGATGTCATTTTAAAAACTCATTATGCTTGACTGTTTGCTAAAACAAGCGCATTATGAGTACATTTTTAATAAAGGGATTTATTTGTCTGCTGGTTGAGGAATCTGGCTCCTTAAATCAGAAAAGTTTATTTTAACCTTATTTGAAAGCCTGGAAAATGCAATTCCTTTTCTTCATACTTAAGAAACATGGGCAGACTTCACAATTCTACTTACGGAACTTAAAAAGAAATGACACTAGAGAAATTACCTTCATTTGAGATAATATAATATGCAACTCCAGGATAAAACCTTTTTTTATATAATTTTCAGGGTAACTGTTCTTCCAGATGGAAGCCTGCAAATTCTGAATGCCTCCAAATCTGATGAGGGGAAATACATATGCCGAGGAGAAAATATATTTGGTTCAGCAGAAATTACAGCTTCAGTATTTGTGAAAGGTGAGATATAACTGGAAAATGATTGATCTGCAAAGGTTTGCACCAGGTAAAGCAGAGTACGCCAATAAAACTCCAACAAAAGTCAGTTTGGTCTAGCAGTTTAAGGCACCAGGCTAAAATGTGGAAAATTCGTGAGTTCTAGTTTCATGTTATCCATGAAAGCTAGCTAGGTAAATTTGAGCCAGTCACTTTTTTGAACAACCTTATGGTTGTTGTTGTTGGGAAAATAAGAGGAGGAAGGTATGTTGATTATCTTTGATACCTTGAACAATTTGTAAAAATAATCAGGAGGGATACAAATAAATACATAAAAGCAACATGCAAGTATTCCAATACTGTATTCTGCTAACTATATTCCTAGTAGAACAGAAGTAAGAATACTGAGATTCTTCTTCTTCTTCTTCTTCTTCTTCTTCTTCTTCTTCTTCTTCTTCTTCTTCTTCTTCTTCTTCTTCTTCTTCNTGTTGTTATTTTTACCGCAGCCTTTGTTCAGGGGTGTTTTTTGTGTCAATTTCTTTGTCTGGCCAACTTCCATTAGGACTTGAAGCTACTTGGATGCCCCTAAAATACACAGTAGGTGGCTCTTTGATCATCCTCTCGGCTTCCATTCTGGAACCCAAAATCTGGAAGGAAGGGACCTTGGAGGTCCTCTAACCCAACCCCCTTTCCGAGGCAAGCGTTCCATATACCACCCCAATCCAAAGGATCTCCAAGTCTATTTCTGGAAACCTCCAGAGATGGAGCACCCACAACATCTCGACTTTCTTGAACAAAGTTTGGGGACATCCTTGCTCAGGGTTACAAGACTTCAAGACTTGGAGAGATAAGCAGAGTGTGCCAAGATCTCCTACAGAGTTGGCACCTCCTGCCTTCCCTCAGTCTGTGGGGTGGGGGGGAAGTGCCTCCGTTCCTGGCAATGTTTTGGGGCTTCGTGGCCAGGAGGGGATTTGGTGGTGAGATTGGGTGGGTCCTCCAGGTACATTCCAGGTGACTGAAAACAAAAGGCATCTTGTTGAGCCTAATGGCTTACAAATTGCCAAATATTTGACGAGTTCTGTCCTGTCACTCCGGAGGCGCCATTGAAGCCCGTCTGAGGGGAGAACATCCGTCATCCTGAGCACACAAAGGGCTTACAAGGAAATGTATATTTTAGGTGTAGCCTTGGCTGCCCTCGCTCTGAGCCCTGCCTAGAAAAGCAGAGAATTAGAGAGAAAAAGGTTGGCTTGATAGATATACTGACAGATATAAATCCCACTTACAAAGCTGAGGCAAACAGAACAACAGAGCTGGAAGGGACCTTGGAGATCTTCTAGTCCAACCCCCTGCTCAAGCAGGGAACACTATACCATTCTGGGCAAGGGCCTGTCCAGTCTCTTCTTAAGAACCTCCAGTAATGGAGCACCTACAACATCTGGTGGCAAGCAGTTCCACTGGTTAATTGTCCTCGCTGTTAAGAAGTTTCTCCTTAGTTCTAGGTTGCTTCTCTCCTTCATTAGTTTCCACCCATTGCTTCTTGTCCTGCCTTCAGATGCTTTGGAGAATAGCTTGACTCCCTCTTCTTTGGTGCAGCCCCTCAAATAAATTTAACAAATGAACAAATACTAAATAGTAATTTTTATTTATTTATTAGATATACATAAGGGTCAAATAAATTTAACAAATAAACAAATACTAAATAGTAATTTTTACTTATTTATTTATTAGATATACATAAGTGTCAAATAAATTTAACAAATAAATAAATACTAAATAGTAATTGCTATTTATTTATTAGATATAGATAGGCAGGAAATAAATTTAACAAATAAATACTGAATAGCAATTTTTATTTATTTATTAGATTTAGATTTATTTAGATAAATTTAACAAATAAATTGATTTAGATAAATTTAACATAAATAAATACTAAATAGCAATTTATATATATATTTTTAGATATAGATAGTGGCAAATAAATTCAATAAATACATAAATTAATACTCAATAGCCATTTTTATTTATTTATTTATTAGATATGGATATGTGGCAAATAAAATTAACAAATAAATAAATACTAAATAGCCATTTTTATTTATTT